TAATATTATTTATTTATTTATTTATTTTTGGTCATGTCGAGTCTTAGTTGGGGCCCTGGGGCTTCTCTCTAGTTATGGCATGTGAGCTTAGCTGCCACTCTGCATATGGGATCTTGGTTCCATGACCAGGGATCAAACTCGTCCCCTGCATTGGAAGGTGGATTCTTAACCAGTAGACCACTGGGGAGGTCCCTCTGGAAACATTTTTGGTTTTCCAAACTGTGTAAGTGTTCCTGCATCTAGTGGGTATAGCCCAGGGATGCTGCTTCATACTTCGCAATGCACATAAAGGAAATTTTTACTGTCCTCAACACACAACACTTTTGATACCAAATATGTGGGAGTTCTTACCATACCAACTAATTCTCCCAACTCTCCAGACACCAGCTGGGAGTTCTACAGTTCAGTTATGATGCTCACCACCTCAAAGAACTCTGGAAAACACTTGACTTACAATTTCTGGCTCATTATAAATGCTGCAGTTTAGGAACAGCCAAATAGAGAGATGCTGTAAGGCTGAGTATCGGGGATCAGCACAGATCTTTCATGTCCTCTCCAGGCACCAGCACCCTCCTAGCACCTACACCAACCCAGAAGCTCTCCAAACCCCTTCCTTTAGGGTTTTGATGGAGGTTCCATTATGTTTGCATAAATTATTAAGTCTTTTGCCTCTGATGATTGAACTCAGTCTCCAGTTCCTCTCCTCTCCTGGGAGGTCAGAGGGTTAGGCTAAAAGTTGAAGCGCATTGGCTGCGACGGACTGCGCAGAAGCGCAAGGTCAAGGGTAATGACCGAGAATACCAGGCTGCGACAGAACAGGAGTGGCGACCGAGAGGAGCTTCCCCAGGCCTGAGGTCAGGGGCGGCGGCCGAGAGGAGCTACCCCACCTCCAAGGAGCGGCTGCTGCACGGGCACAGGAGGGCCGAGAGGAGCTACTCCACGTTCAAGGTCAGGAGGGGCTGCCGTAAGAAGATACGCATGTCCAAGGTAAGGAGCAGCGGCTGCGCTTTGCTGGAGCAGCTGTGAATAGATACCCCACATCCATGGTAAGAGAAACCCAAGTAAGATGGTAGGTGTTCCGAGAGCGCATCTGAGGGCAGACACACTGAAACCATAATCACAGAAAACTAGCCAATCTGATCACAGGACCACAGTCTCCTCTAACTCAATGAAACTAAGTCATGCTGTGTGGGGCCAACCAAGACGGTCGGGTCGTGGTGGAGAGGTCTGACAGAATGTGGTCCACTGGAGAAGGGAATGGCAAACCACTTCAGTATTATTTCCTTGAGAACCCCATGCACAGTATGAGAAGGCAAAATGATAGGATACTGAAAGAGGAACTCCCCAGGTCGGTAGGTGCCCAATATGCTACTGGAGATCAGTGGAGAAATAACTCAAGAAAGAATGAAGCGATGGAGCCAAAGCAAAAACAACACCCAGTTGTGGATGTGACTAGTGATAGAAGCAAGGTCTGATGCTGTAAAGAGGAATATTGCATAGGAACCTGGAATGTTAGGTCCATGAATCAAGGCAAATTGGAAGTGGTCAAACAGGAGATGGCAAGAGTAAATGTCGACATTCTAGGAATGAGCAAACTAAAATGGACTGGAATGGGTGAATTTAACTCAGATGACCATTATATCTACTACTGTGGGCAGGAATCCCTCAGAAGAAATGGAGTGGCCATCATAGTCAACAGAAGAGTCTGAAATGCAGTACTTGGATGCAGTCTCAAAAACGACAGAATGATCTCTGTTTGTTTCCAAGGCAAACCATTCAATATCACGGTAATCCAAGCCTATGCCCCAACCACTAATGCTGAAGAAGCTGAAGTTGAACGGTTCTATGAAGACCTACAAGACCTTTTAGAACTAACACCCAAAAAAGATGTCCTTTTCATTATAGGGGACTGGAATGCAAAAGTAGGAAGTCAAGAAACACCTGGAGTAACAGGCAGATTTGGCCTTGGAGTACAGAATGAAGCGGGGCAAAGGCAAATAGAGTTTTGCCAAAAGAACACACTGGTCATAGCAAACACCCTCTTCCAACAACACAAGAGAAGACTCTACACATGGACATCACCAGATGGCCAACACCAAAATCAGATTGATTATATTCTTTGCAGCCAAAGATGGAGAAGCTCTATACAGTCAGCAAAAAGAAGACCGGGAGCTGACTGTGGCTCAGATCATGAACTCCTTATTGCCAAATTCAGACTTAAACTGAAGAGAGTAGGGATAACCAGTAGACCATTCAGGTATGACCTAAATCAAATCCCTTATGACTATACAGTGGAAGTGAGAAATAGTTTTAAGGGACTAGATCTTATAGAGAGCCTGATGAACTATGGATGGAGGTTTGTGACATTGTACAGGAGACAGGGATCAAGACCATTCCCATGGAAAAGAAATGCAAAAAGGCAAAATGGTTGTCTGAGGAGGCCTTACAAATAGCTGTGAAAAGACGAGAAGCAAAAAGCAAAGGAGAAAAGGAAAGATATTCCCATTTGAATGCAGAGTTCCAAAGAATAGCCAGGAGAGATAAGAAAGCCTTCATTAGAGATCAATGCAAAGAAATAGAGGAAAACAGCAGAATGGGAAAGACTAGAGATCTCTTCAAGAAAATTAGAGATATCAAGGGAACATTTCATGCAAAGATGGGTTCGATAAAGGACAGAAATGGTAGGGACCTAACAGAAGCAGAAGATATTAAGAAGAGGTGGCAAGAATACACAGAAGAACTATACAGAAAAGATCTTCACAACGCAGATAATCACAATGGTGTAATCACTCACCTAGAGCCAGACATCATGGAATGTGAAGTCAAGTGGGCCTTAGAAAGCATCACTACGAACAAAGCTAGTGGATGTGATGGAATTCCAGTTGAGCTATTTCTAATCCTGAAAGATGATGCTGTGAAAGTGCTGCCTTCAATATGCCAGCAAATTTGGAAAACTCAGCAGTGGCCACAGGACTGGAAAAGATCAGTTTTCATTCCAATCCCTAAGAAAGGCAATCCCAAAGAATGCTCAAACCACTACACAATTGCACTCATCTCACACGCTAGTAAAGTAATGCTCAAAATTCTCCAAGCCAGGCTTCAGCAATACATGAACTGTGAACTTCCAGATGTTCAAGCTGGTTTTAGAAAAGGTAGAGGAAGCAGAGATCAAATTGCCAATATCCACTGGATCATGGAAAAAGCAAGAGAGTTCCAGAAAAACATCTATTTCTGCTTTATTGACTACACCAAAGCCTTTGACTGTGTTGATCACAATAAACTGTGGAAAATTCTGAAAGAGATGGAAACACCAGACCACCTGACCTGCCTCTTGAGAAACCTGTAAGCAGGTCAGGAAGCAACAATTAGAACTGGACAGAGAACAACAGACTATTTCCAAATAGGAAAAGGAGTACATCAAGGCTGTATATTGTCACCCTGCTTATTTAACTTATATGCAGAGTACATCATGAGAAATGCTGGGCTACATGAAGCACAAGCTGGAATCAAGATTGCTGGGAGAAATATCAATAACCTCAGATATGCAGATGACACCACCCTTATGGCAGAAAGTGAAGAGGAACTAAAAAGCCTTTTGATGAGAGTGAAAGGAGAGTGAAAAAGTTGGGTCAAAGCTTAACATTCAGAAAACTAAGATCATGGCATCTGGTCCCATCACCTCATGGGAAATAGATGGGGAGACAGTGGAAACAGTGTCGGGCTTTATTTTTTTGGGCTCCAAAATCACTGCAGATGGTGACTACAGCCATGAAATTGAAAGACACTTACTCCTTGGAAGGAAAGATATGACCAACCTAGATAGTGTATTAAAAAGCAGAGAGATTACTTTGTCAACAAAGGTCCATCTGGTCAAGGCTATGGTTTTTCCAGTGGTCATGTATGGATGTGAGAGTTGGACTGTGAAGAAAGCTGAGCACCGAAAAATTGATGCTTTTGAACTGTGGTGTTGGAGAAGACTCTTGAGAGTCCCTTGGATTGCAAGGAGATCCAACCAGTCCATCCTAAAGGAGATCAGTCCTGGGTGTTTATTGGAAGGATTGATGCTGAAGCGGAAACTCCAGTACTTTGGCCACCTCATGCGAAGAGCCGACTCATTGGAAAAGACCGTGATGCTGGGAGGGATTGGGGGCAGGAGGAGGAGGGGACGACAGAGGATGAGATGGCTGGATGGCATCACTGACTCTATGGGCATGAGTTTGAGTAAACTCGGGAAGTTGGTGATGGACAGGGAGGCCTGGCATGCTGCGATTCATGGGGTCGCAAAGAGTTGGACACGACTGAGTGACTGAACTGAACTGGACTGAACTGAACTGAATCACCTTGTTGGTTCCTCTGGTAACCAGCCTCTCAGCCTGAGGGGCTTTCTAAAGTTCACCTCATTAACATAAATCAGGTGTGATTGAAACCTTTATTGTTCTTGGAGCTGTTTCTGGAACTGTGAAGAAAACCCAAATAAGCTTCTATCTCTCTCCTTACTTAGGAAATTACGAGGGGTTTAGGAAAAGGGACAAGATAAAATATACAAGCTTTATATCTTACCATGGGACAGCCCTCTGCCATAAAGAATTATCAGGTCCAGTGTCACCAGTGCCATGTTGAAAAACTCTGCTCTAGTCCTATGATTAGGAAAATGAGACTGTTTTTTAAAAAAAGAGCTCTTGGTTTTGCATTATTTATTTTGTAACTGGCCCGTATTACTGAAACCTCTTCAATAAAGAGTAAGGCTTTAGCTTGAAAGCAAGTCATATTAAATGGCATTTGTTTCCTTAGTTACCTCTGGGTATTTGATTTAAGGTCAAGCTCCTGAAATTATGCCAGTATCTGAGACACATGATCAAGATTTTAAAATATGGGCATAAATCAAGTGTAAATTTAATTAGTGCTAGTGAAGAGGTTTCAGTAATGCAGCCAGTTACTAAATAAATAATGCAAAAAACAGTAGCTTTCCCATGTTTAAACAGTAGTAATTGGGAAATATAATGGAGGAAGTTCCCATTAACAATTTCAACCAGAAGTATGAAGTACCTACCTAAGAGTGAACTTTAAAAATGTGCATAACCTATATGAAGATAACCATAAAAGTTTACTGAGGCATATAAGAGAAGACATGAATAAATGAAGAATACATGGATTCAGTAGTATAAGAATGTCATTTCGCTCCAAATTAATTGATGCATTTAATATGATTCTTATAAAAGTACAGTGGGGATCTTTGGGGGAAGGAAAAGAAGGAGAGTCTCGACAGGATTCTAAAGTTTAAATGGAGGGGATAAATGCATGAGATTAGTCATCTCTTGTTTTTTAAGGAAAGTAATGACAGCTTGCTTGTAGAAAAACATGAAAATATATTGTAAGTTTATTATCTGACTGTAAATTTAAATATTTAATATAAAAATAAATGAGTTCTAGTGCTTCAGTAATTGGAAGTCTCTTGTAGAACAAGCACAGAAAGAAAAATCAGTGAAAAATTTTAAAGTACAGAATCAAACCTGGGTTTATGAAGATGACATTTCCATTCTGGAGAGAGAGGTTGGAATAGTGAATAAATGAATTGCAGTAGCAGGCTAGCCAGGTGATTTGGGGGAAGTGGGTTATGTTTTGCCTAAAGAGATTAACTGAAAGAAATGCTAGGTGAATTAAAGCTAGAAAATGAAACCATAAATATTTAAATTGTATAAATATGAATATAAACATGTATAAATAATAATTGTTGGGTTGGAGAGAGGACCATTTATTGAAGTATAATTTAAAAATATATAATATAGTCAGTGAAATGGTTCAAGAATAAGACTGTAAATAAGACTGTATAGTATAAATAAGTATACTGTCCCCCATCTACCTTGTATTACTCCCTCCCCCCTGCCCCCTTCTATTCAGCTAACCACTGTAATTGTATATATCCTTCCAAAGTTTCTCTATGGCTTTGCTAGCAAATAAAAATATATATTCTTAGCCCTCTGCTTGTTTTAAAAATATAAATAGTAGTATATTCTACACACTGTACCTTGCTTTTCAAACTTAAAGCTTATACACTTATTTTAAACATTTTGTAGCTCTTTTCACATCAGTCAGTATATGGAGAGCTTCCTCAGAATTTTTATAGCATCATACATTGTCTGCATGCACTATAGTTTATCTAGCCCCTTGCTGGCGGGTGTTTGGGTTGTTTCCTCTTCTGCTAATATAAACAGTGGTGCAATGGATATCATTTTACATGTCATTTTACAGATGTGTATCTTTGTAGATAAATTTCCAAAAGAAGTATTACTGGTTCAAAAGATAGATGCATTTGTACTTTTTAAAACATTGGCCACTTATTTTCCATAGGGATTATACCAGTTTACACTCCCATTAGAAATCACAGACATTGCCCCTTTCTTCACAGTGTCCTCAAACAGTGGATTACTAGTGTTTTTTTTTTTAATTTCTTCCCATATATTAGGTAAAATTGTTCTAAAGGTAGATATAATTTGTGATTTTCTCCTAAAAATGAGGTTGAACATTTCATATGTTTGAAGGAATTTTGAAGCATGATATGGAGGCATAAACCATAAAGGAGAAAACGGTGGAAAGATTTGACTACATAAAAAATAAAAACAAAATAAGAAAAGCAAATGACAAACTGTGGTTGGGAAGTACTTGCTACATTTGACTAAATAGCTTTGATATATACTTTTATTAAAACTCAGTAATAAGAAGACATTAATCCAATGAGAAAATGGGTAGATAATATGAATAGGCAATTTCAAATGAAGAAACTAAAGTAACCATTAAACCCATGATGAAAATTTAGTCTCACTGATAGGTATTGATTTAGAAATATTAAAACACCTTTGTGATAATTGGTTATTTCTTTAAAAATATATATGTTATACATGTGGTGCTTCTCTTAAATGAAACATAGGGATATTCTATGATATACATTTTATTTTATTTTTAAATAATGCAATGCAACCATTTAAATTTTTTTCTTTTTATTATTTTATTGAAGGATAATTTCTTCACAGAATTTTGGTGTTTTCTGTCAGACCTCAACATTAATCAGCCATAGGCGTATATATATCCTTTCCCTTTTGAACTTCCCTCTCACCTGCCTCCCCATCCGACCGCTCTATCAACCCCTGTTGATACCGCTCTGTATCAAACCCCTGTTTGAGTTTCCTGAGCCATACAGCAAATTCCTATTGACTATCTATTTACATATGGTAATGTAAGTTTCCATGTTACTCTTTCCATACATCTCACCCTCTCCTCCCCTCTCCCCATGTCCATATGTCTATTCTCTGTGTCTGTTTCTCCACTTCTGCCCTGTAAAAAAATTCTTCTATACCATTTTTCTAGATTCTGTATATGTGCATTAGAATATGATATTTATCTTTCTCTTTCTGACTCACTTTGTATAACAGGCTCTAGGTTCATCCACCTTATCAGAGCTGACTCAAACGTGTTCCTTTTTATGGCTGATTAATATTCCATCGTGTATATGTACCACAGCTTCTTTATCCATTCATCTGTCGATGGACATTTAGGTTGCTTCCATGTTCTAGCTACTATAACCAGTGCTGCAATGAACAGTGGGATACGTGTGTCTTTTTTAACCCTGGTTTCCTCAGGATATATGCCTAGGAGTGGGAATGCTGGTCATACGGTGGTTTTATTCCTTGTTTTTAAAGGAATCTCCATACCATCTTCCATAGTGGCTGTATCAATTTACATTCCCACCAATAGTGCAAGAGTGTTCCCTTTTCTCCACATCCTCTCCAGCATTTATTGTTTGTAGACTTTTTGATGATGGCCATTCTGACCTGTGTGAGGTGATATCTCATTGTGGTTTTGATTTGCATTTCTTTAATCATGAGTGATGTTGAGCATCTTTTCATGTGTTTGTTAGCCACCTGTATGTCTTCTTTAGAGAAATGTCTGTTTAGGTCTTTTCCCACTGTTTGGTTGGGTTGTTGTGTTTCTGGCATTGAGCTGTATGAGCTGCTTGTATATTTTGGAAATGAATCCTTTGTCAGTTGTTTCATTTGCTATATTTTCTCCCATTCTGAGGGTTGTCTTTTTACCTTGCTTATAGTTTCCTTTGCTGTGCAAAAGCTTTTAAGTTTAATCAGGTCCCACTTGTTTACTTTTGTTTTTATTTCCATTACTCTAGGAGGTGGGTCAATAGAGGATCTTGCTTTGATTTATGTCATCGAGTGCTCTGCCTGTTTTCCTCTAAGAGTTGTTTATAGTTTCTGGTGTTACATTTAGGTTTTTAATCCAGCTTGAGTTTATCTTTGTGTATGGTGTTAGGAAGTGTTCTAATTTCATTCTTTTACATGTAGCTGTCCACTTTTCCCAGCACCATTTATTGAAGAGGCTGTCTTTGCCCCATTGTATATTCTTGCCTCCTTTGTCAAAAATAAGGTACCAGTAGGTGCATGGGTTTATTTCTGGGCTTTCTATCTTGTTCCATTGGTCTGTGTTTCTGTTTTTGTGCCAGTACCATACTGTCTTGATGACTGTAGCTTTGTAGTATAATCTGAAGTCAAGAAGGTTGATTCCTCCAGCTCTATTCTTCTTTCTCAAGACTGCTTTGGCTATTCGGGGTCTTCTGTGTTTCCATATGACTTGTGAAATTTTTTGTTCTAGTTCTGTGAAAAATGCCATTGATAATTTGATAGGGATCATATTGAATTTGTAGATTGCTTTTAGTAGTATAGTCATTTTCACAATATTGATTCTTCCTACACAGGAACATGGAATATCTCTCCATTTGTTTTTTTTAATTAATTTATTTATTTTAATTGGAGTCTAATTACTTTACAATATTGTAGTGGTTTTTGCCATACATTGACATGAGTGTACATCCATCCCCCATCTTGAATCCCCCTCCCACCTCCCTCCACATCCCATCCAGTAGGGTTGTCCCAGTGCACCAGCTTTGAGTGCCCTGTTTAATATATTGAACTTGGACTGGTGATCTCTTTCACATATGGTAATATGCATGTTTTAATGCTATTCTCTCAAATCATCCCACCCTTGCCTTCTTCCGCAGAGTCCAAGTCTGTTCTTTATATCTGTGTCTCTTTCTCTCTCTTGCATATAGGGTCATCATTACCGTCTTTCTAAATTCCATATATATGTGTTAATAGACTGTATTGGTGTTTTTCTTTTTGACTTAGTTCACTCTGTATAATAGACTTCAGTTTTTAAAATTAATCTGTTTATTTGGCTGCACTGGGTCTTAGTTGTGGCACCCAGGATCTTAGTTGCTGTATGCGGGATCTAGTTTCCTGACCAGGGTTTGAACCCAGGCCCCTCACACTGGGGACTCAGAGTCTTAGTCACTGGGCCACCAGGGAAATTCCCCATGATAGTTGGAGGTAGGTGGTAATGTTCCCAATTCCTTCCCAGCATCTCCTCTCTTTCCCCAAACCCCCAGTGGCCCTACATGTTTTGGATAGCAGGGTCTTATTTATTGTCATGAATTGTTTAACAGTTGGATGTAGGCAGCAATAGATTCAAATGCAGTTACTTATTAAGCACTTTTTTCCCTTTTAAAAAGGAAGAAGAATATCTGTAATTATGTATTGGAGTCTGGAAACGGTTGGTTCAATTCAGCACAAATATTTATTGAGCACTTAGTATCATGTGCCCTGTGCAGTGATCTATAGTGAGGATGAAAAGATAAACTGTTTTCTGTTAACCAGTTAATCCTATTTGTGTCTTTATGTACTTGATTTCTCAAACTTTATTTCTTTTATAGTTTTTATTTTAAAATTTCAAGCAAGCGGCCAAGTAATGTTTTCTGAAACTTTATTCCAGATTTCTATTTATTATTTTTTCTCACAGACTTATTGTATAATTCACATACCACATGATTTACCCATTTAGAGTGCACAGTTAATTGTTTTTTAGGATATTCACAGAGTTATGCAACCATTACTGAAGTCAGTTTTACAACATTTTCATCATCCACTGAAGAAACACCATGCACCTTAGCAGTCACTGCCCATTCTTTCTTCACCCCAGTTCTGGAAACCACAAATCTACTTTCTGTTTCTATAGACTGCTCTGTTCTGTACATTTCATACAAATAGAATCATACAATATATGGTATTTTGTGATTAGCCTCTTAGCATGTTTTCAAGGCTCATCCATGTTTTAGCATATATCTATACTTCTTTTCCTTTTTATGGCCAAATAAAATTCTACTGTATACCACATTTCATTCATCGTCTCATCAGTTGATATTCATTTGGATTGATTTCTTTCATCCTTTGTTATGAATAATGCTGCTGTGAACATTCATATACATATTTCAGTATGGATCTATATTATCATAGCTTTTGTTTGTGTACTTAGAAGTGGAATTACTGGGTCATATGGTTACTTTATGTTGAACACTTTGAGAAAGTGCCATACAGTTTTATTGAAGAGATTACACTGTTTTACATTCCTATCAACATTGCATGAGATTTCCAATTTCTCCATATCCTTGCCAACACTTGATATTATCTGTCTTTTTTACTTTAACCATTCTTTTTTATTTTTTAATGTGAAAGTCGCTCAGTTGTGTCTGACTCTTTGTGACCCTGTGGACTATACAGTTCATGGAATTCTCTATGCCAGAATACTGGAGTGGGTAGCCTTTCCCTTCTCCAGGGGATCTTCCCAACCCAGGTATTGAATTCAGGTCTCCTGCACTGCCGGCGGATTCTTGACCAGCTGAGCCACAAGGGAAGCCCTTAGCCATTCTAGTTGCTATGAAATAGTATGTCATTGTGGTTTTGATTTGCAAGTCCCTAATGACTGATGACATTAAGTATGATTTCAAGTGTTAGGTGGCCATTTATACTAACAATTTTGCATCTTTCTGACCATTCTTGTTTAGTCACCATCTTCTTCTGACCCCAGCCTGGAAAGGATCTCTACATTTAAGGATTCATGTCCTTAGTTTTGCTTACCTGGATAATCCAGGATAAACTCCCTATATCAAGTTACTTAACCAATTTAACCATTACCTCATCTATAAAATCTCTTTTGTCAAATAAGGTAATGTGTTCACAGTCTCTGGATATTAGGATGTAACCATCTTTGGGGGACCATTTTTCTGTCTACCACACCATCTTAACAATATAAAATTTTCTGATCCATGCACATGAGATCTTTCCATTTATTTAGGATGGCTTTCTCTCAGTAATATTTTGTTTTTCTGGATACAAGGCTTGCACTTCTTTTGTTAGGGTTGTTCATAACTATTTTATTCATTTTGAATAATCATAAATGAAATATTCTTAATTTCATTTTTGGATTGTTATCTATATATTGATAATATATAGAATTGTAATTTATTTTTATATTGATTTTGTATCTTGCAACTTTGCAGAACTTATTTATTGTTCTAATAGATTTTTTTATGGATTCCTTAGGTTGTTATGTATTCATGATCATATCATCTGTTAATAGAGATAATTTTATTTCTTCTTGGCAATCTGGTGTCCTTTAATTGTTTTCTTGCTTAATTGTCATGGCAAAAACTTCCTATGTATTGTTGAAGTGGTAAGAGCAGACATCCGTATTCAGTCTTTCACTATTAAGAATGATGTTAGCTGTAAGTTTTTCATAAATACCCTTAATCACGTGTAAGAAGTTCCCTTCTTTTTCTAGTTTGCTGCGTATTTTCATCATGAAAAAGTGTTGGATTTTCTCAAATGCTTTTCTGCTTCTATTGAGATGATCATGTATTTTTAAAATAATGAGATAATTAAGGTATAATTCATATATTTTAAAATTCACCCTTTTGAAATGTACAAAACAGTGTTTTTTTTTAATGTATTCACAGAGTGTGTAACTATCACTGCTATGTAATTCAAGAACATTCTCATGACTCCTAGAAAAAACCCTGTAACTGTTAGCAATCACACCTCATTACCCTCTCCTCCCAGCTCCTGGTAACTAACCACTATTATACTTTCTGTCTATGGATTTGCCTTTTCTAGACATTTCATATAAATAGAATCATACAATATGTAACCTGTGTTTGAAAGTGAAAGTGTTAGTTGCTCAGTTGTGTCCGACTCTTTGTAACCGCATGGACTGTAGCCCGCCAGGCTTCTCTGTCCATGGGATTTTCTAAACAAGAACACTGAATGGGTTGCCATTTCCTTCTCCAGGACAATCTTCCCAACCCAAAGATCCAACCCAGGTCTCGTGCATTGCAGGCAGATTCTTTACCATCTGAGCCACCAAGCCCAGGTATTCTTGTCTGGGAAATCCCATGGACAGAGGAGCCTGGTGGGCTAAAATCCATGGGGTCACAAAGAGTTGAACACAACTGAGTGGCTGAGCACACACGTGGACTGTAAACCACCAGGCTCCTCTCAGTGGGATTCTTTAGGCAAGAATACTGAAGTGGGTTGCAATTTCCTTCTTCCGGGGATCTTCCTCACCCAGGGATTGAACTCACATCTTCTGCACTGACAGACAGATTCTTTACCAGTGAGTCACCTGGGAAGCCCATACTAAGCAGTACTGATGAACTATTTTTTAAATCAGGATTTTACTATGTCATACTTATTAAATATCATGTTACTTAATTTTCCTTGCTTTGTTGTTATTTCTCTATATAAGTAAAGTTTGTTATAGTGGTGTTTACTTGTTAAAAATGATTTTGACTTTTTTTTTTTTTGCTTGTTACTTTAGGGTTACTCCAGCATCTACTCCTACTGCCGCTGCTAGTTCAAGCACCATGCTATTTACCTCATTTTCAAATTCTTCTACCTGCACTGCTGCTACTGGGCCCTTGTGTAAGTCACTGGTTGCAAAGAAAATACTATTATTTTGCTTTAGGCCATTTAACTCAATTTGCCAGTATAAGCTATGGATCTCAGACATCTCATAAGTTATCATTGTGCTTGATCCCATCTGTAATTGCTGATATCAGTAGTAGCTTTGCTTAAGAACCTAATTATCATGGCTTCCACTGTGCATTTTATATTAACATGATTATTACAGCTTAACGTGATGATTTTAAGCATATAATTCATTAACATTGTAATGTTTTGAAACAACTTCCTGAAGCTAATGGGAATAGGAAGAGTGGGAGTTTTGCCATGTATGTCTGAAGGGAAGAAGTCTTATTATCCTTGTGAATAAGATAGAATGGGAAACAAATGTTGGAGCCTTGCTGTATTTTATTCTTATATATAGACCAGGTCTGTGATCCTTACATTTTACCTATAAGAAGTGTTACATGACAAAAGGACCGGCTGTAGTTTTGTACTTTTATGACACTGTGAGATGTCTCCTGTTCTCTCCTCTTAAAGATGAACACCTGGATGCTTTGAGCTGAGAAGTGGGACATTAATTATCTCATAACCCCAACTTCTTTGCTACACATCTTCCATTAGTAGAGTAATAACAAATGTTGAGAATATTGAATTCTGTATAAATCATAGGTAATTATTTTTTACAGATCCACATAAACTGCTGGTGCTTTGGAGGCATCTACACAGTGCCGTGATATTAACCGTTAGACTTCGTTATTATAATCCTAGCAGTAATATGGTCCTCCCAAAGCTATGTTATAGCAAAATTGTCAACATTTCTGTTAATAAAACTTGCCAGGAATTGCTAATACCTAGTTCAGCATGAAAACTGGTGGCTTGCCATCCCCATCATCTTGTGCAGTTGGCATAGGTGAACATTAGTTGAAATTGCAGGTTACCACTTGAGTTGTATTTTCCTCCAAGTAGGGGTGATTCTAATCTTGAGACATGACTGAGATTCTGGAAACCTCTTGATATATAATATCTTTCTCAAGTATAATAGATGTTGTGAATATGACCCTATCTGAGCTTGAGAGTTAGAATTATTGAATGAATTCCATTTTCAAAGTCTTGACTTCTGACTTTTGATAGGTTTTTTCTTCTTTCCTGTCCTTGATGTCCTTGCCTACAAAATGAAAAGAAATCTTGACCATAGTATTTTTTAAAATTAACTTTAATGAGGTATAGTCTACATGTCATATAATTATTTTAAGTGTGTATTTCACTGATTTTTAATAAATTTGCTGAATTGTATAACTATCATGATAATCCAGTTTTAAAACATTTCTATCATCCCAGTAAGATCTCTCAGTCCCAGACAACTACTGATCTGTTTTTTGTCTCTATCTATGCCTTTTCCACACTTCTCATATAAATGGGTTGACTATAGTTTTTTGAAGTTTAGCCAGAGTTACTAAAGGACTCCTCAGATGAAAAAGACTCTATATAAATTCTTCATTCACTATGTTTGATTAAAAGGGTAATAGGTAGTATTATGTTATTCTCTGCAGTTGGTGCCCCAGTAACTTCAGCTGGAATGTTTGGTGGTACATCTTTGAGATTTGGATTAAATTTCTCTGGAGCATATGGAGCAGCTGCTGTTGCATCTAGTAAGATTTTACAATTATTAGGATGTATTTGGATGCTCATTGGAAATGTAGCAACAGTAAGTAGGTTGTATTCCTTAGTTTTTAGGATTCAGTTGGTTTTGATCATCTCGTCGGAATATCCAAAAGGTACGTCAATGTTGAGAATTGTCGAAGAGTGGAAGGAGATAGTTGATACCAATGATATTACTTATTTTAGATGACTATAATCAGAGATGCTATCAAACTTGTCAACTTTGAAGCTTAAACAGTTTTATTATTGAGCATACTGTTTAAAGTGACCCAATATATTGGGATTCCTAGTTTTAGTCTCTAAAAATTAATCTAAGATTTGACCTCTCTTGATCCTCTCCTAAAGTTGATTACAAGAGTTTCTGTAGACATATCCTAAATTTATTTCTGCCAGTTAGGTACTAGGTAGGTTGTAAATTAAAGAAAACTTAGTTATCCATTAGTGAAAGTGTTGTTCAGTCGTATCCGACTCTTTGTGACCCCATGGACTGTAGCCCACCAGGCTCCTCTGTCCATGGAATTCTCCAGGCAGGAATGCTTAAGTGGGTAGCCATTCCCTTCTCCAGGGGATCTTCCCAACCCAGGAATCAAACACAGGTCTCCTTCATTGCAGGTAGATTCTTTACCATCTGAGTCACCAGGGAAGCCCCTAGTTATCCATTGTCTATTACCTATAGTTATCCATTGACTGTTACCTATTGTGAGCTGGGTGGTTAGAGATCAGTTACTACTTAAACCTACCATTTAAGTTAGACTCCACTTTAGGGAAATGTTGTTTGTTTTCACTTTAAAAAGTTTACTTAGGGCTGAAATGAATCTTCAAACCCCGTCATAAGCTAAAAGTCAGTCCCTCTTAAGTTTAAAGTAATTATTCATAAACAGAGATGTACACCACCTTTTGCATGACCAACACTTAACTGAGTTTCTATTGTGTATTTGGCTAACTGGCCATCCTATAAGCATTATGAAGGGTGTGGCTTGAGAACTTTTTAAGTTACCGTATTTGCAAAAAAAATGTAAAACATAGTTTCCCTTATAAAATGCTGAACAAAAAATTGATTCTTTCAGTCCTGGGTTGAGTCAGTGAAGTATGAATTTGCAAGCTCTTTGGTGACTCTGCCATACCTCACCCCCACCTAAGTCTTCAAATTCCTTCCTGCATACTGGTACCTCTGCTACAAGCCCATGTTATCTACCATTGCCTTGTGTACTTAACCCACCTCCCATCAGATATGTTTCAACTCAGTACACCCAGCCCAGAGTTATTTTTTTTCCCCTACTCACCTTTCTTTCTCCCCAAGTATATTTACTTGCTCAGATTCATCTCACAAATTAGCCCTGTAGGGCGGCTCTCAGATATCTGTGTCTGTAAATCTATCACCATTTGGGATTGTTTTCTGTCCTAGATATAATCAGCAAGTTTTAAGAGAAGCTTGTTTGTTGTCAATCTCATCTTTTGCATGAGTCTTAAGAAAGTGAATCTAAAGTGAGTCTTAAGAAATGAGTCTAATGCTGTCCATTCCTAGCATGGAATAAGATACATAGTTGTTGATCAGACAGGATAGGAAAATTGAATTGTAGGGTCTTTTAAAGGATGGTCTCACTATTTTAGGCTTCCCAGGTGGTGCAGTGGTAAAGAATCCACCTGCCAGTGCAGGAGATGCAGGAGACGTGGTTTGATCCCTGGGTCAGGAAGATCCCCTGGAGGAGGAAATCCCAACCCACTTCAGTATTCTTGCCTGGGAAATCCCATGGACAGGGGAGCCTGGTGGATTATAGTCCATGGAATGTCAAAGAGTTGGACACGACTGAGCACACTGAGCATAGCACATTGAGCACTCACTTTTTTATGTATTGATTTTTAAGATTATCAGAATGAGATTTATTTAAATGTAAATCCAAATTTTGTTATGTAATTATTTTCTATTATTTATAGAACAATGCTTTCCTTTTAGTACACAGATAACATGGAGTTGACTCGTATTTAGTTTTGACCAGAGTTGTAACTTGTAAAATCAGACTGTGATAGAACCTTCATTCTCAAAACTATTGCTTGTTTTGGAATTAGTTGAAATATTAATGTTACTTTAGTATTGTCTACTATGACAGAACTAATTTATACCTTTTAAAAATAAGAATTTTTTAATTCTTACCAAAGAATAATGAATAAAAATAAATACTATATAAAAAAGTTTAAAATAATCATGCCATTTTATATGACTCTATAAAAAAGTTTAAAATAATCATACTGTTTTTTATGACTTGATTCCTTTGTGTTTAGACTGACAGGTATTAATTTCCTGAATGTATCACACAGCATCTTTGGAGAGGCATTGATCTGTGTTAATTTCTTTGTTTAGTGGTAGTGATGGTAGTTGCTTTTCTAAATATTACAGAAAGCATACACACATGCATACATACATATATCACACCCTCTAGAGGGAACAGTATGGTTCTTTCCTTAGCAGCTGTTTTTCCCAACACATATAAACATACATTAAATGTGTTTGTTTTTTTCCCAAAAAATGGGATACACACACTTAATCTTAGAATTTGCCATTTTCTTAAGTATATATTATCTTTGGACATCTGTTCATGTCAGGAAATGTTGACTTTAAAAAAAAAAAACTTCTTTGGGTGAAGATAAGCTCCTTTACAAGAAAGACTTGTGTTTTTCTTAATGGTTTATCTGTTTTTCTGTCTTGAATGTAGTAATTACACAATGTTAGAATGATTAATCAGTAAAGGGGGGGGCCTTGATAATGTCATTAATTTTCAGCATTTCTGAGGAAGGAATTCTTTCCAGATCAGATTTTTTATTCTTAGATGAAGAATGTGATGACATGTGTCAGTGAAGAATGCCACGTGGGATCTAGTCTGTAATCTCTCCAGTTATGGTGACCCCAGAGATCTTTGGTATTTGGGCATAATCTTCTCTTGCCCATTCCACTTTCTAACACAAAGAATGGGGGAATTATTGTAAGGATCCTTGTGCCCAAAAGGGAAATGAAATCTTGTGGAAAGCTAATACAGGTATTATCATAGCAAAGAACTTAAAGGAAATTGGAATTTAGAAGTTGTTTTAAAGTCAGCTTTAGGGACCTCCTGAATTTAATGTTGTATAAACATAATTCAGCCATTCTCCTTTTGTCTTTTTTTAACTTCCTTTTTGTTTCTTTACCCCTTTTTCTGCCTTACTATTTTAGCTTATTTTTAATTTTGACTTGCTCATGACTCTTTAATTCTACTTCAGGTTTTACCTCTGTCAGTCCTTTCAGCTCCCCTTGTCTATTGTCTGATTCTTTCTACATGTTTGGAAATATTTCCAAATTTCTGCTTAGAGTCTGATGCTTTCCATATTTCTGGAAATACTTCCATATTTTTACCTGCCATCTGATTCTTTCCAGACTTCTAAATTTTTGAAAATGAAATTCTAACCTATCTTATCCCTGTTTGGCTAGAGCTTTTTGTTCCAGACCCTCTCATAGGCTGCCAGTAACATAGATGCCCACCCTTGTGAACTAGGATCAAAGGATAGAGTTTTAGTAACTCTATCCTTCCGCATGTTTATTGCCCACTTATCTTCTACCCATAGTTCTCTCTTGGTTTTCTGAACTTGTATGGCAATTTTGGTTCTTTCTTACACAATGAGCACTTAACAAACAATGCACAAAAAATTGTGGCTTTTAACTATAATACCAACTAAGATGTATGCCAACTATAAACTACGGTATTAGAGAAGCAGCAGTCTCCCCTACTGATAGGAATGCAAATTGGCAAAATCTTTTGACAGGGGAATTTGGAAAGAAATAATTACAATTTAGAGCATGCTGACCCTTTGGTCTAGGATTAATTACACAGATATATTCAAGTAAGTATGCAAGGTTAGAGATGTACAGAGATTTTGTGTAAGATTACAATTATGCTTTTCTTCAAAGTTTAGCAGAACTTACCAGTGAGGTTATCTGGGTCTGGAGTTTTCTCTGTGGGAAGAGTTTAGAGGATTGATTCAATTTCTTTAATGGTTATAGGTCTGGTTAGGTTATAAATTTTATTTTTCTACACATTTATCCAATATTTTCAATTTTTAGCAGGAAGCTTAATCCAGATAACTGATCTGCTATATATTATAGCAATGTTGAGTTAAAACCCATTACAACTTTGAATTTCAATTCACATTAAAAAGTACTTCTGTGGTGTTTTATCCTAATGATCAAGTGCTGAGTTTTAAAATTTCTTACTTATTATTAACATTAGACACTTTATTTTCCAGCTACAGCATCAACCACAACTACCGCCACTGTTACCACCACCACCACTACTACCACCACTAGTAGCTTTACCTTGAATCTAAAACCACTGACATCAATTGGGATTAATAACACTGCTCCAGTCAGCATTACATCTATACCTTTTACTCCGACTGTTAAGTAAGTATTCATTTGAAAATTTGTATCAGTTTCATTTTATTTGTTATACACAAGACATAGTTTGCTTGTATATCTTTAGAATAGTGTTTGAAAGTTAGGTAAATGACTCAGAGTCAAGGAGCAGTTAGAGAAAGGCTTTCTGTTTCTTAGAAGTTGAACAACTAAAAGGATACTTTTTTTAAAATTAAGTAATTAATTTATTTTACTTTACAATATGGTATTGGTTTTGCCATACATTGACTTGAATCTGCCATGGGTGGATACTTTTGTCTTCTGAATATCATTATAATATAATTATTACTATTGCGAATAACAGATAATATTTATTATGTGATTACTATATGTTGAGCAATATGACAGTGCTTTACACACACATCATATCATTTAATCCTCACAATGACCTTATGAGTTAGGTACTATTTTGTTCTCACTTTATAGATGAGGAAACTAGAAAACATTAAGATTTTATAATCTGCCTTTGGTCATATACTTGGTAATGGTTGAGCCAGGATTAAAATTCAGGCAGTCAAGCTCTAGAGCCTGAATTCTTATAATTTATGCCAGTTTGGAAATAATTTATTTCCAGTTTGGGGCTATTATGAATAAAGCTGCTATGAACATTTGTGTAGAGGATTTTGGTGAACTTGGGCTTCACTGGTAGCTCAGATGGTAAAGAAACTTCCTGCAATGCAGGAGACCCAGCTTCAATCCCTGGGTCGGGAAGATCCCCTGAAGAAAGGAACGACTACCCATTCTAGTATTCTTACCTGGAGAATTCCATGGACAAAGGATCCTTTGGGGCTATGGTCCATGGGGTCCAAGAGTCAGGCACGATTGAACAACTAACACTTTTGGTGAACCTAAGTCTTATTTCTCTGTACAGCCCAGCTGTACAGTTGTTGGGTGGTATGGCAGTTGCAAGTTTAGGTTTTAAGGAAATTGCTATAAATCTTTTCCAGAGTGGCTGTGCCATTTTAACTCTCCAACAACAATGTATGAGAGATCCAGCTTGTCCATATTCTTGCCAGGATTTGGTGTTGTCACTATTTTTTTTGTTGTTGTTGTTCAGTTGCTCAGTCATGTCCAACTCTTTGCCACCCCATGGATTGCAGCGTGCCAGGTTTCCCTGTCCTTCACTCTCTCCCAGAGTTTGCTCAAACTCATGTCCATGGAGTCGGTGATGCCATCCAGCCATCTTATCCTCTGTTGCTCCCTTCTTCTCCTACCCTCAATCTTTACCAGCATCAGGGTCTTTTCCAGCAGTCAACTCTTTGCATCAGATGGCCAAAGCATTGGAGCTTCAGCTTCCAGTATCAGTCTTTCCAATGAATATTCAAGGTTGATTTTCTTTAGGATTGACTTGTTTATTCTCTGCAGTCCAAGGGACTCTCAAGAGTCTTCTCCAGCTCATAGTAGTTTTAATATGCATTCCCCTGATGACTAATGATGTTGGACATCTTTTCATATGTTTATTTCCCATCTGCATATTCTCTTTGATGAAGTGTCTGTTTATATCTTTTGTCCATTTCTACTTGAATTTTTTTACTAAATTTTGAGAGTTTTATGTATTCTAGATACCTGCCCTTTGTCAGATATGTGGTTTATGAACAGTTTTTTCTAACTCTGTAATTTATCTTTTCATCTTTTAAAGAGTGTTTCACCAAACAAAACTTAATTGACAAGGTCTGATTTATCAATTTTTCCTTTAATGAATTGTGCTTTTAGTGTCAAGTTTAAGAACTCTTTGCCTAGGTTCCAAAGATTTTCTCATAATTTTTTTCTGAAAGATTTATAGTTTTACATTTTCTGTATTTCCTTAGGATAACTTCCAGAGACTTTGAGTGGTTGTTTTTAAAATAATCTTTACCAGTTTTGGTGGTTTTGTTGGGGAGCAGGTTGGAGAAATGCCTGTAAAATGTGGTATTTTTTTCTCTTAAGTTCTTCTATGTTATACTTTTAAAAATCTGATCATACTCTGGAAAGTATGATCATCCAATCATACTGTATCCTTCTTTTTAGTGCAATCATAACTCCTGTGATGACATATGGTCAGCTGGATGGTCTGGTAAACAAATGGAGCCTTGAGTTAGAGGATCAAGAGAAACACTTTATTCATCAGGCCACCCTGGTCAGTGCTTGGGACTATACATTGATGAAGAATGGTGAGAAAGTAAGAAGATGTTCTGATTAATTTACCTGCATTGTACAAGTATTTTCTGATGAACACAGGAAAATAGACCCATGTTTCATGGTTAATTTTTCCTTCCAATATTAGTGATAAACTTAAAAATATTTTCCTTAGGTAATAAGTGCCCTGAATTAGGAACTCTTTCATACTTGAAGTGTATATTACAAAATAAATATTGCCTTACAGTTACAATATAAATTCAAATATTTATACTATTAAATTCTTATTTTCCTTTATAGATAACTGCTTTACATGGAGAAGTAGAAAAAGTGAAACTGGATCAGAAAAGGTAGAACCTTAGCTTCCCTAGGTTGGAAGATTAAAGATCCGTTTCTTTGTCTAGTTGTTTTTCCTTGTTATAGTTTATTGACATTTATTTTGTCACTCCAGATTCCTTTCATCAGCCCTTCTATTGACTTTTTTTTTCAGGCTGGAACAAGAATTGGATTTTATCCTGTCACAGCAAAAGGAACTGGAAGATCTCTTGATCCCTTTGGAGGAGTCTCTAAAGGACCATAGTGGGTCTGTTTATCTACAGTATATAGATGAGCATGAGAAGACGTAAGTAACTAAATAAAGATTGAGGAATAGGGCAGGTCTTAGCTACTGAACGTAAAAAGCTACTGAAAGGTAAAAATGATTTTGAAGGCAGGGAATAAAAATCAGGAGAAAAGTGCAAGTTCTGGCAGTTGCCATTTATCAACTTATTTGACTGCTGTTTATGTTTTCAGGATGCTTGTAAATGAAGTAGTCGTTCTGGCAGTTTTGTCTTGTAGCATTTTGTACACTGTTATTAATCTCAGGGTTAGACATGACCACTATAAAGCTTTTTATATTTGTCAAGTTTGTTCTTAAATTAGAAATACAAATTTTATGTGTGTAGTATCATTATATTATGGAATATTTATGACCTCCTATTTGTACTGACTCTTTTAAACCTAATGTTCATGCAATTGCTTCAGTGATAAATCCGTTTCTTATTTTAAAGGAAATTTGTTAATCTCGGGGCAGATTGTGTGGCTTTTAAACATTGAATGATTTTGTTGATGTCTTAGATTGAATATATTTTATTTGTGTGTGATTTGGTTTTTACCTTTGATCAATATATTGCCAATATTCCCACAGTAACTTTATTTCTTTAGAACTGAGATTTGGTAATCAGGCCAAATTATAAAATGTTATTAGAAGAACTTGTATGAATGTACTACATAAACTAAATCTGATTGATTTTATCAATGGCTTATTAGTGAGTTAAGACTGAGCTTATTTTTTAAAACCTTGCAAGTTAACTTTTTGTAGATGTATTAAATGTGGTAAGTACAGCTAATCTGTATGAACCCTAGCTCTCTGTTTCTTCTTTTGTATTTCAGCCTTTGTGAATCTTTCTTTTCATTGCACTGATTATCCTATGCATTCTATCATTTTCTTGGAAATATAGAGTTACATTTTCAGCCATGTGATCCGACCTGTAGGTTAAAGAAACATTACTTTCTTTCTAATTGCTTTTAGGTAGTCAGATTTATATTGCTTTGGAATCTTTACTAGAATCTTCAACAATCTAGGCAGCCAATTATCTATAAGTACTTTGGGACAGAAAGGTAGTAGTTACAAATAAATTTAATTGAGTTATTTAGTCTTTATAGACAAAGGTCCATCTAGTCAAGACTATGTTTTTTCCAGTAGTCATGTATGGATGGAGTTAGACTATAAAGAAAGCTAAGTGCTGAAGAGTTGATGCTTCTGAACCATGGTGTTGGAAAAGACTCTTGAGAGTCCCTTGGACTGCAAGGAGATCCAACCAGTCCGTCCTAAAGGAAATCAACCCTGACTATTCATTGGAAGAACTGATGCTGAAGCTGAAACTCCAATACTTTGGCCACCTGATGCGAAGAGCTGACTCATTGGAAAAGACCCTGATGCTGGGAAAGATTGAGGGCAGGAGGAGAAGGGGAAGACAGAGGATGAGATGGTTGAATGGCACCACCGACTCGATGGACATGAGTTTGGGTAAACTCCAGGAGTTGGTGATGGACAGGGAGGCCTGGCATGCTGCAGTCCATGGGGTTGTAGAGTCGGACAGTACTGAGCAACTGAACTGATAGACATTGAAAAATCCTCTGCTTACTTTAATTCTCATAAACACATTCATTGACAGGTTAACTGTGTGTGTATGCACACACAAATACTTGGGGTGGAAATCTTGAGAATTTAGCCATCTAATCAATTTGTTGTGAGCTCAGCGGATTTTTCTGACTTTGATTGTTATGAATCTCATTTTTTAAAATATCTTTTCTTGGATGATGGAGTATATTTGTATGAGATTTTACTCTGAAGATTTGTGTATTCAAAATTGTTGCAGACATCTCAACATTTCTTAAAATCACTAAACCCCAAAATAACTTCTCATATAACTAAGTAACCTATGGATTTGTTCTGATATCTAATAGGTGAGGTAATGGGTTACTGTAAAAATGGCAAAGTGCATAAAAGCCTTCACCTATGGAATCTTTTTAGAATACAGTCATGAATACTACATCCATAAAAATGTGCTGTTAGTAGTGACTGAGACAGTGAGAAGGTAGGGGAATGAGGGCAAATTCAATTGGCAGTATCATTCTTTGTATGTCAGTAACAGTGCATAGTGGAGAAAACATTTTTTGTTAATCCCTTTATTTTACCTGCCTTTTCAGTTACAAGTTAGCAGAAAATGTAGATGCTCAGCTGAAACAAATGACCCAAGATCTCAAGGACATCATTGAATACCTGAATATATTTGAAAGTCCTGCTGACTATACTGACCTGGTATGTTAACTGCTTTATCTATTTAGACAACCAAAATTTAGTATGAAATTAGCATTCTGTTGTTCCTTTACCTAGTCACCTTCTCCTGTCCTCTCTAGTGTTCCTTATCTGCCTCCAGAGGTACGAAGTTTTGGGTGTAGTTAGTGGAGCAGGAAATATTCAGGAGCAGAAAAAGGTTGTGAGTTTTTTGAGATTATTTCCAGGAGGGTAAAAAAATTACTGGTCTCCCAAAATTTTCAGGGTTTTCTCTCTGTTCTTCCCATAAGTATGTCTCTATTCTAATTTTTCTATTCACTTACTCATTAGCTAGTTTATTTGTCCTTTCACATATTCATCTACATGTTCATATAATTGTGAGTGTATGTGTATATATATATATGTACATACACATTTTGAGTCTTGTAGGTATATCCAGGCAATCCTTAATTTATAATTAGGTTATATTTCAAAAGTTCAAAAAGTCAACTACTCAAGACTTACAGTATATTTTTCCATAGAAATTTTAAGTATAGTTATTAGGTTTCCACCTGCACTGTGGAATCCTAGTTAACTCATAATGTAAATTTATTATAACGTGAGAAAATACAGCTGAGGCTCCAGTTATAGAGTTGAGATGTTTTAAATTAATTTGGTGGTAAGAAAAGACTGATTTATTTTCCTTTATCTATACTCTAATTAAAGAACTTATTTCCTCTGCCTTTCCCTATCGTCTTAGTAGCTAAATGGAGCCCTTTTCCCCACTCCCACCCCATGACAGTAATGGTAAGAGAAGTCTCCTGTTGTGGGAGCTCAGGTTGTACTTTCTATCAGTTGATTATAATTAGGACTGGAGCCTGGAGCTGGAGAGGTGAGGATGAATGACATATCTATAAGTATATATATACTTATATATCTATAAGTATCTTAATCAAGCTGTTTGTCCAATTATATACAGACAGTTCTTTATATAACATTTTACAGGCTTTTTTAATTAGAAAGAGACAGCATGGTATAGTTGAGAAAGCACTAGAATTTTATTCAAGTCACTTAATCTAAGTCTTGGCCCCTTTTGTAGAATGTCAAGGGTGGACTAAATGATCTTGAATTTTCCTCCAACTATAAAAATTTTCTATTCTCTACTTCAAGGGAATCTAAAATTGAACAAAAACAAATATAAATTAGTCTTGAGTTTATACATGCTACCATCTTCCTCCAAGAGTTAACATTATAGACTTTCTTTTTACTGAAAGATCAGATCACCATTGTAATTTCAAAATTCAAGATTGTTTTATCATAGAACTTTGACGCATAAATAAATACATGTCGATTTAGACATAAAGCAGAGCTGATGTCTAGTCTCTATGTTGAATTAATGTAAGATAAGTGTTCTAAACAGAGTAAGTGAAGGGAAACTGTAATCCTATCCTTATCCTTTATCTCTACTAAGCCTTGGATTGTTTTATTTTGTTTTAGTAGTAGGGAGTAAAGGATTTGAGTCTTTTGTTTCTGTTTTTCCTGGCAAGAGTTATTGAGATGTTTAAGATGAGTGAATGCAAGGATAATTGCTTCTTGATAGCAGGGCAAAAGAAGCAAGAAATCAGCAACAATTCATCTCTTTTCTCAGATAGCATAAATCATTGGACAGGAAGCAGAGAAACCATTTGCTGAACACTAATATTCTTGTAGATAATTAATTGTAACCAGATCAACAAAGCCTTATTACTGTAGGCCAATACACTAGGGTAGAAAAATAGCAAGCATGTTCAACGATATTCACAGTGATGGGATTTACTTGTTTATTTTTACCGTTTTCAGGGGGACATAGGAAAGACCACTTACTTTCTGAAATTTTTATTAAGCAAGTTTATATTATGGTATATGATATTCAGCCACAGATTTTTATAAAAATTCATTGTTCCTACTACAAATTTTATTTCTGTTTATTATATTAATATACACTAAATCTGTTATTTTTATTACATACCACTTAAGTGTGGTAAACATTTTCATTTCTCCTTGTTTTTCAATATTATCCTGGACTTTGCCAGAATATTTGTCTATTTGTCAAAAGTATTCTAACATTTTTAAAAGGATTAGTATTTTTGTTACAAAATAAATACATATGCTTATTCAATGTGTTAAGCTTAGAAAATACGAGAATCTGTAAAGAAAATTAAATCCCCTGTGTTACCAGTATTCTGCTAATATATTAGTATATTTCTTTCAAGTATCTTTGCTATACAGTTAAAATACAGGTATATACTTATTTTCTTTTAAATATTATTAGAAACACATCTATATAAAGTTTTGGATTCTGTCTTCATTTAATATTCTTTCATGGTATTTTCCCAAAATTTTAACCATTCTTTGAAAATATGGTTATAATAACTCTATAATATTTCATTAGAGATGACTTTACCATAATATATTTAATCATTTTTATTGATGGAGATATTGTTGCAAAATTTTACCATTATGAAATTAACCTGTAATGACCTGGTGTATGTTTAGATTTCATTATTTCTTCTGGATAGATTTCTAGAAGTAGAGTATACTGAGTTAAAAGGTAAGACTTTGATGTGAAAGTCACTCAATTGTGTCCAACTCTTTGCAACCCCATGGACTGAATTCTCTAGGCCAGAACACTGGAGTGGATAGCCATACCCTTCTCCAGGGGATCTTCCCAATCCAGGAATTGAACCCAGGTCTCCCGCATTGCAGATGGATTCTTTACCAGCTGAGCCACAAGGGAAGCCCAAGAATACTGGAATGGGTAGCCTATCCCTTCTCCAGAGGATCTTCCCGACCCAGGAATCGAACCGGGGTCTCCTTCATTGCAGGCAGATTCTTTACCAGCTGAGCTACCAGGGAAACCCTGATAGCTTAGGGTTTGAAATATTTGATTGACATATATATACATAAGATATATATATATATATCAGACTTCTGATATATATATATAATATATATTATTTGATATATATCATAGTTTGATATATATATAAGACTTTGGTATATATTGCAAAAATTTACATTTTTAAGGGCTGGGTCAATTTATATTATCATAGGCTGTGTATGAATGTACCTATTTTCCACACACACTTGACAACTGAATATTACCATTTATTAAAAATGGATGATTTGGAAATTTTGCTGTTTGCAATAACATGGATGGATCTTGAGAGCATTATGCAAAGTAAAATAAGTCAGTTAGAGAAAGACAAATACCATACAATCTCACTTATATATGGAATTTGAAAACAAAAAACTAAAACTAAACCAAGCTCATAAATACCCAGAACAGATTGGTGATTGCCAGAGGATGGAGGTGAGAGGTGGGCAAAATGGCTGAAGGGGATCAAAAGGTACAAACTTCTAGTTACAAAATGAAAAAACCATGGTAGCTACAGTTAATAATACTGTATTGCATATTTGAAAATTGCTAAAAGAATAGATTGGAAAAGTCCTTATCATAAGGAAAAAAAGTTTTGTAACTGTATGGTGAATATTAACTGACTTAATGTGGTAGTCATTCCATAATATATATGAATATCAAATCATTATTGTATATACCTGAAACTAATATAATGTTATATGTATCAATTATACCTCAATTTAAAAAGTTAGTTTGGTTGTAAAAGGTCATATTTTAAAAGTTTTATATGAATTTCTTATTCTGTCAAATGTCTCTTAATTTTCTTTCCTTATTTTTGTACTATAGAAGTTAGGTGTTTTTTTTTTTTTTTACTGAATTGTAGGAATTGAATTCTTGACAGTTGAAATAGATTAAACTAATATATGAACATTACAAACATAAAATAGCAAAAAACCCATGCAATTAATACTTAGCATATTCTCAGTAAATTTCTTATCAGAAGAAATGTAAATAACTTCCTAATTTCATTTTTTTATGTTTATTTTTTGTTTACCATATCAGAATAATCATAATCTAAGAATCCTGTGTGGTTTTTTTGTTTGTTTGTTTTTCCAGTTTTTTAAATTTAATTTTTTAGTTGAAGGATAATTGCTTTACAGAACAGTTTTTTTATTTTAATTTTCTACAGCTAATATTCTTTAAATTAATTAATTTATTTTAATTGGAAGCTAATTACTTTACAATTTTGTAGTGGTTTTTGCCATACATCGACATGAATCAGCCTCGGATGCACATGTGTTCCCCATCCAGAACCCCCCTCCCACCTCCCTCCCTATCCCATCCACCCCCCAGGGTCATCCCAGTGCACCAGCCCTGAGCACCTTGTCTCATGCATTGAACCTTGACTGGCGATCCGCTTCACATATGATAATGTACACGTTTCAATGCTACCCTCTCAAATCATCCCACCCTCGCCTTTTCCCATAGAGTCCAAAAGACTGTTCTTTAAATCTGTGTCTCTTTTGCTGTCTCATATATAGGGTCACTTTTTACCATCTTTCTAAATTCCATATATATGCGTTAGGATACTGTATTGGTGTTTTTCTTTCTGACTTACTTCACTCTGTATAATAGGCTCCAGTTTCATCCACCTCATTAGAACTTATTCAAATGCATTCCTGTGTGTTTTTAGCTCCAGCAGATCTGCAGAATTCTAAATGTTCATTTGGACTGTCTACAGTGGATTAATCATATTTCAGGTGGGAGTTTTTTTGTACCCCAAGTTATCTGTAAGTAGAAAATGTGATACAAGTCAGGTTTTGTGCACGATGACCGCACTTAAATAAGAACTCAGTTGTAGGAGTACTATTTAACACATGGTATGTCTGTATTAATTCTGAACAACTGTAATTGCTTATTTTTATAAAATGAAACATAGGAAGGATAAACTAGAAACTAATGAAAATAGGGGGTGTTTAGGAATGGGGTGGAGGAGGTAGGAATGGAAATAGGACTTTTCTGGGTATGCCTTTTTATACAGTTTTGACGTCTGGACCATGTAAAAATTTAAATATTCAAAAATTAAAATTAAGCCAAAAATAGTGGGAAGAAAGACAAATGCTGAAACTGAATACAAAATGAAACCAAACAAACCTGTGTAACTAATTTATAACATAAATATGTAGTTCAGATAACTTTTGTACATTGTGTTTTTGATGGTGCATCCTTGCTAGGATGTAATTTTAATGATAAAAAGAACTACAAAGAAATCTTAAGCTTTCTTAATAAGTTTATCATTAGTTTCAGGATGATGCTATATATTACATATGCATGTGGTATAATGATATTTCTACCATTATAAATATGTGTATGCTTGCTAAGTCACTTCAATCGTGTCTGACTCTTTGCAACCCTATGGACTGTAGCCCACCTGGCTCCTTTATCCATGGGATTCTCCAGGCAAGAATACTGCAGTGGATTGCCATGCCCTCCTCCAGGAGATCTTCCTGAACCAGGGATCAAACCCACATCTCTTACATCTCTAGCATTGGCAGGCTGGTAGTTCCTCCTGGGAAGCCCATCATTATAAATATAGTAGAAAGCAAATGCACAGATTTATTAATAATAGAAACCAAGATTTTCATTAAAAGATAAAGGAGAAATAAGATATTTTTCTTTCTTTCATATTTTGTTATAAATTTGAATTGCAAACATCAGTATGAATTACTGTTCCCTTTTTCTATACACAGAAAGGGCCAAGAAGCAATGATATACCCTGATAGCAGTGAGCACATCTAGCACCTAGATCTTGGTTTCTAGATACCATTACCATTAAAATGAACCAAGGCTTCTTAGAGAAATATCTGATCTCAGGTCTTACACAGGGGAAGTACAGGGTGAGTTTGGCACTTTTTATGCCAGAAAACAAAGATTATTCAAAAACTAATGAGATATTCAGGACACGGGATGGTGCTTTAATGGGCTTCTACTGGCCAAATCAGGTTTCAACATCAAAAAGAATAATGACAGTGATGGATTATAATACACTGAGGGAGAAAAACCTCATGAGACCACAGTGATATTCCCAAAAAAGACAGAGACAGAGAAATGGGAGATGCAGTGAAGAGTCTTTATAGAAGCATGGCAGCTAATAATTGTAGAAGGAATAGAGAACCACTATTTAAAACATTTTCAAAAGAATACTTTCATTAAGGTTTCCATGATGTTGAATACTCTACCTCATTTATATTTAAACTGTCAGTCATTTCTTGGCAAAAAAAAATATATATATATATATATATACACACAGACAGGAAACGGATCAAATATAGACAAGTTACTAAGTGATTTTTAAGTTTATTTAGATATAATTTATATACTCAATTTACATGCAGTCATTTTAATTGTACAATTTAATGAGAAAGTTACCATTTTGTAGCCCTGGCTTATTGATTGATTCTGGCAAGGGTCATCAAGGAATGCTAAAACCACTTAGGAATGCTAAAACTCTACCCATTATTTAAAAATTACAAAGGAGAAAATGTACCTTTGCAACAGTGCTATCTGACAAGTACCACTTTAATCAAGTGATCAAATTTAATATCACTAATATTGCAATAAGTCGACATTGTGTGCTTCTTGATCTGACATGAGAAGTGCATAATATCCCACATGTAGTATTCTTATTAAAAATGTTTAAACCTGAATCTAATGATAGGAAAATAATCAGACATTCTATGGGCAATATATTCTGAAAGATAATGGATTCGACTCTTGAAAAATCAGTCATGGGTAACTAGAAAGTTCAAAACAAAAAAAAAATTAAGGAGATTGTTATAGATTAAAAGAGATATAACAATCAATTCTACCATGTTAGCTTTGATTAGATACTGGATCAAAGCCCAAAAGACATTATTTAGAACATTCAGGGAAACTTGAGTATGAACTGCACATTAAATATTAAGGGATTTTTTATTTTCCTATGTATGTTATTATGGTTATGCAAGAAAATATTTTTACTCTTAGAAGCTGCATGCTACATTTAGAGAATAAAATTAGCTGCATGCTAGTTTTATTTCAAGTGGTTCAACCAAAATCATTTGTGAGGAGAAAAACATGGAGAAATTTGTGGCAAAATGGGAACAGTGGGTTAACCTAGGAAAAAGGTATTTAAATTTGTGACTTTTACTATTCTCTCAGCTTTTCAATAGATTTAAAATAAAAACTGGTGGGAAATGATTGTCATAGACCTTTGCCTAAATATGGAATATATTGAGACATCAGTAATTGAGACAAATGGGGGCTAGTTAACCAATCAGAGTTACTATATTTAAAGATGTGGTATGAAAATAATACAAATCTTATTTGGCTTTATAGATTCCTCATTCTCTACATTAATAGAGGTCATCAACCATGAACTTCTGCTTCTTTCCCTTCCAAATATACCTATATCATCATCATCCATGTTTACTTCCTTCTTTCCTGTGTTAAAAGAAAAAAATATCCTATTCTATTCTAAACTGTATTTTGAATCATCAGAGGGAGGTTAAATTCTATATTGCTTTAGTTTGTGGTTCAGCTGGTAAAGAATCCACCTACAATGCGGGAGACCTGGGTTCAATCCCTGGGTTGGGAAGATCCACCAGAGAAGGGAAAGCTACCCACTCCAGTATTCTGACCTGGAGAATTCCATGGAATGTACAGTCCATGGGGTCACAAAGAGTCGGATATGACTGAGCGATTTTCACTTTAGTATTAATTACCTGATGGGGAGAGGTTTCTGAATCAGATAGATATGGGTTCAAGTCAAAGGGGTGTGTATGTGTGCATGCTCAGTCATGTCCAGCTCTTTGTGACCCCATGGACTGTAACCTGCCGGGCTCCTCTGTCCATGAGATTTTCCAGGCAAGAATACTGGAGTGTGTTGCTATTTCCTACTCCAGGGGCTCTTCCCAACCCAGGGATCGAACCCCCATCTCTTGCATCTCCTGCATTGTTAGGCAGATTCTTTACCACTATGCCACCTGGAAGCCCCCAAGTCAAGGTATTACCACTTAATAGTTGTGTGACCTTAATTGTAACTCAGTTTCTCTGAGTCTGTTTCCTCATTTTAAAAATGAGTAATATTTACCTTTTAGGGCTTTTGTAAGGATTAAAAGAAGCAACATTGAAGTTTCCTTAAGCAGTGCCTGTTCCATGATTGGTAGTCTGTAAATGATAGCGGCAGAACTGGTTGTCAGAGTTTGCTGTGGATGGGGATGGGTTAAGGGAGAAAGACAAAAAGGGTCATATGGTTCAAAAGGGAGCTATTAAATTGAGTCTAGAGAAGGCAGTTCCACACATTATCATTGAAAACCACTTACCTAGAGAAGTGGTTAAGAACAGCTGTGATGTGGAAGCATATCGGTGGCTAGAGAACACTGAGGAATGAGATCATACAAAGTTTGACTCAGCTGTATTCCTCTCTGTTGCATATTTTCCTACAGTGAGCAGTGCTTTGGGGTGGAGTTGGGGGGGATGTCAAATGTAATTAGGTAAAGAAAGATTATAATGATTTTTTTTTCTCTTGGCTGGGATCCTCTTTGTCATAAATGAAATCTCAAGGCTCTCAGCCACTGTTTTCCTACTAGTAAAATTAAGGTTGTTAGCGCTACCAAGAACTTACTGTATTATGTAAATGAAGGAATTGTGGTTCAGAGAGGTTAAACGACTTCCCTAAGAACACACAGTTAATTAGTGGCAGACCTCGGACCAGAATAATCATCAGAATAGTATTCTTTCTACTGGTATGCTCTTAAAACAATTCTAATGTAGGCATCACTGGATATAAAAACAAATCCCAATCATTTACCTAACAGTAGAGGACATGGGTTTTCAAAATATGATAATGGTAGTACTTGGGTAGACCACTCTAGTGGTCTGGGTAAAGCTTCAGTCAACACAGTAAAAAAAAATAAGACAATAGAGAGTAACGATTACTTGGAGTTACTTTTCTGCTAAAACTTGAGTTGAGCTGAAGAGGCAATGAGAGCTCATACAGGTTCTCAAATGAGGTGGAGAGGCCATGATAATGGAAAAAGCCTAGGGATTCTTGATACTGTGGGCTCCTTTTTTCTGTTCCCACAAGAAACCTTTCTTTTTCATGTCAGGAAAAGACATGATCAGGGAATGGAGAGTGGCAGGATTTAATTATGCTAAGAGGGTTTTATTTTTGGTGGTGGTGGTGGTGGTTTATTTTACTTCATAATTAATGGCATCATGTCTGCTGAAATGGTCTGTGGACTGAGAAATTTTAAAGTTAAACTTTTCAATGAATCTCTTTATTCACATCCAAATAATGGTTTTTTAAAAACCCAAAACATGTTAATAATAGAAATAAGAAAAATTGTAAAGAGAAATCTCTAACTGGTAGGTTTTTGTAAAAAATTATTTTAAAGCTTAAATCTGTATTTCGAAACATTTCTAGGAGGTATTTTTATGATTTGGTATCTTTAATGACAGTACAGAATTTTTTTCTGCTATGGACCATAACTATTGTGCTATATATTTAACTTAAAAGTCAGCTTGTCTTTAAAAGTGATTTGAAAATTATATATGTTGAAATATTATACTCTTCAGTCAACTTTTCAATATCCATAAGTAAGTAGAGAACCAGGCCCCTTTCTTCCTCTAAATTTCATAGAACTTCACTGATGGAACCAAATCAGGAAGAGGTAAGTATAAGAGTTTTGAGTGAGAGAGTGGCTTCCCAGGTGACTCA